TGGCTCCTACTTCGGGGCCTCCCTCTGCTCCATGGACGTGAACAGAGACGGCAACACGGACCTGGTCCTCATCGGGGCCCCCCACTTCTATGAGCAGACCCAAGGGGGCCGGGTGTCCGTGTGCCCTCTGCCCAAGGTGGTGAGTGGCTGAGGCCTGGGTGGGTGGGTCTGGGTGTGGGGAGGAGGGGTGGCCTGGGCTGGGGTCTGGCACTGGTTTCATTCTGCAGCAGGGAAGGTGGCAGTGTGTGGGCGTTCTCCGTGGAGAGCCGGGCCACCCCTGGGGCCGCTTTGGGGCAGCTCTGACAGTGCTGGGGGACGTGAATGGGGACAAGCTGGCGGACGTGGCCATCGGGGCCCCGGGAGAGGAGGAGAACCGGGGAGCCGTCTACCTGTTTCATGGAGGTTCAAGACTGGACATCGGCTCCTCTCACAGCCAGGTGACTACAGCCTCCTCTGGTTCCACGTCCCTGTCATGGCCCGGGTTCCTCACACACGGCCTCCTGTCACTGGCCTTACCAGTCACCATTTTTTTCCTTTTGATAGTGTTTTATTTCTTTGAGTTTTTCCAGGCCCAGGTAAGTACAAATTATGACTTTTCTCCTTCAGTTCCAAACAGCCTTCCATCTGTGTGGGCAACTTCCTGGCTGAGGTCAGACCCCAGGTCACATGTTTGGCCAGGCCAGCCGTCACTAGCTCTGTGGCCTCAGGCAAGCGCCTGGCATAACTTCTGTGGCCTTGGACTCTGTGACTCACAGACATGGTAAAACCAGCTCCGAAGGCATCTTGTAGAGACAGTGCAGTGATAGCACTGAGCACCCCTCGAGGGTCTCGATGACCACAGCGAGCCACGACTCGAACCTGCCCTGCCCCCGTTCCTACGCTTTATTTCACCCTTAGCCAGCCCCTCACGGTGAATGGGACCACAGCGCTCTCTTCTCTCTGTCTGAGGGTCCCCCGAGTCCTGGCCCTGCTTGCTTTCAACTCCTACCCGCTCATCACGCCTTCACGACCTCTATTAGCATTTTCTCGACACTCGCCTTTCCAAGCCTCTCCCCAAGGCTTTCCAGTCACCTCCCCGTGACTCACTTTTCCCTCTCTGCCAGCGGGTC